GCCAGGTCTCAGGAAGTATTCTGTATGCCTCTATAATGTTTCTATCTTGTAAGGGTATGTCTACACTCCGAAATTAGGACAAGTTTATAGAAGTCGATTTTATACAGTCGATTATGTATGTTCCCACTAAGCGCATTAAGTCGACGGAGTGCGTCCTCACTACCGTGGCTAGCATCGACTCACGGAGCGGTGCCCTGTGGGAAGCTATCCCACAGTTCCTGCAGTCTCTGCTGCCCATTGGAATTCTGGGTTAAGCTCCCAATCCCTGATGGGGCAAAAACATTGTTGTGGGTGGTTTTGGGTTCATGTTGTCACTCTCCCCTCCCTCCCTCTCTCCCTGAAAGCAACTGCAGACAATCATTTTACACCTTTTTGCCTGGGTTACCTGTGCGGACGCCATAGCATGGCAAGTATGGAGCCCATTCAGCTCACCGCTGCTGTTGCGAGCATTGTAAACACCTCACGCATTATACTGCAGTATGTGCAGAACCTGGCTAAGAGACGGCAGAACGAGGACGATTGTGATGAGGACATGGACACAGACGTTCCTGAAAGCATGGGCTGCAATTGGGACGTCATGGCGGGGCTGGTTGATACAGTGGAATGCCGATTCTGGGCCCAGCAAACAAGCACAGACTGGTGGGACCACATAGTGTTGCAGGTATGGGATGATTCCCAGTGGCTGCAAAACTTTCGCATGCCTAAGGCCACTTTCCTGGAACTCTGTGAGTTGCTTTCCCCCACCCTGAAGCACAGGAATACCAAGATGAGAGCTGCCCTGACAGTTGAGAAGCAAGTGGCGATAGCCCTGTGGAAGTTTGCAACGCCAGACAGGTACCGGTCAGTCGGGAATCAATATGGAATGGGCAGATCTACTGTGGGGACTGCTGTGATTCAAGTAGCCAGTGCAGTCACCGACGTTCTGCTATCAAGGGTAGTGACTCTCGGAAATGTGCAGGTCATAGTGGATGGCTTTGCTGCAATGAGTTTCCCTAACTGTGGTGGGGCGATAGAACGCATATCCCTATCTTGGCACCGGACCACCTTGCCAACCAGTACATAACCCTCAAGGGGTACTTCTCAATGGTGGTGAAAGCACTGGTGGATCACAAGGGATGTTTCACCGACATCAACGTGGGATGGCCGGGAAAGGCGAATGACGCTCGCATCTTTAGGAACTCCGGGCTGTTTGAGCAGCTGCAAGAAGGGACTTACTTCCCAGACCAGAAAATTACTGTTGGGGATGTTGAAATGCCAATAGTTATCCTTGGAAACCCTGCTTACCCCTTTCTCCCATGGCTCATGAAGCCATACACAGGCAGCCTGGACAGTAGTAAGGAGCAGTTCAACTATAGGCTGAGCAAGTGCAGAATGGTGGTAGAATGTGCCTTTAGATGTTTAAAAGCTCGTTGGTGCTGTTTGTTGACTAGGTTAGACCTCAGCGCAACCAATATTCCCATTGTTATTACTGCTTGCTGTGTGCTCCATAATTTCTGTGAGAGTAAGGGGGGAACGTTTATGGCAGGGTGGGAGGTTGAGGCAAATCACCTGGCTGCCAGTTTTGAACAGTCAGACACCAGGGCGATTAGAAGAGCACATGTAGGCGCGCTGCGCATCAGAGAGGCTTTGAAAACAAGTTTCATGACTGGCCAGGCTACGGTGTGACAGTTGTGTGTATTTCTCCTTGATGCAAACCCGCCCCCTTTGTTGATTTTTAACTCCCTGTAAGCCAATCACCCTCTCCCCTTTGATCACAGGTGGCAAAGGAAATAAAGTCACTATTGTTTTGAAACCATGCATTCTTTCTTTATTAATTAAAAAAAAAAGGGAGATAACTGATAAGGTATCCCAGGTGGGGTGGGAGAGGAGGGAACGACAAGGCCACATTGCTTATTGTAGCCACACTACAAATCAAAACTGTTTTGAATGACAGCCTTCTGTTGCTTGGGTCATCCTCTGGCGTGCAGTGGCTCGGTGCCCGGAGCCTCCCCCCACCCCATGTTCTTGGGCGTCTGGGTGAGGCGGATATGGAACTTGGGGAGGAGGGCAGGCAGTTGTACAGTGGATGCAGCAGCGGTCTGTGCTCTTGTTGGCTTTCCTGTAGCTCCACCAGATGCCTGAGCATGTCCGTTTGCTCCTCCATTAGCCTCAGCATTACATCCTGTCTCTTCTCATTGCGCTCACTTAATGCTTTCCTGGACTCTACTAATGAATGCATCCATGCAGTCAGCTGTGCCCTATCAGTGCAGGAGTACTGCATTAGCTCAGAAAACATGTCATCGCGAGTGCGGTTTTTTTTGCCTTCTAATCTGCGATAACCTCAGGGACGGAGATGATAGGGGGAGCATAGAAACATTTGCACCTGCGGGGGGATAAAAAGAGAGAGTAAAATTTAAGATGATACATTTCTGAGAACAAAAGGGAGACTCTTTCACAGTGAATCAAGCAATTCACAGCAGACAGCACATGTGCTTTAGGTACAAGGTCACATTTTGCCTTTTATATTGAGCGTCTGCCGGTATGGTGACACATCACACATGGCTGGGCAACAGAATTTGGTTTCCAGGCTCCCAGGGTAAGCCAAAGGGTACACAGGTTTGGCTTCTAATGCCTTGATAACATGTGGGAATGTTTTCAAACTGCAGCGCCCTCCTTTCCCATAGCAAGCAATGCCGATTGTGTTTGCCATTTAAAAGGAGGGGCTGCGGTTTTCAGGTGGATGTGCAGCACACACTTTCTCCCACCCCTCCGTGTGGCTATTTGGAACGATCCCTTCACCCCTCCCCCTGCCGCGTGGCTATTCTCAGGGATGATCCCTTTTAGCCAAGTGCAAACAGCCCAGCATGAATGGGGTCCTTTTACTGTTCCCTTACAAAAATTTCCTTATTTCAACCAGGTGACCATGAATGATATCACTCTCCTGAGGCTAACACAGGAAGATATAGACCGAATGTTGCTTGAATGCGACCAAAACCCAGGACCATTCGCTGCCATGCTTTGTGCTGCAGTGATTCCAGACTACTTGCTACTGGCTTGGCGTGGTAAAGTGTCCTACCGTGGAGGACGAAATAGGGCAGCCCTCCCCAGAAACCTTCTGCAAAGGCTTTCAGAGTACCTCCAGGAGAGCTTCATGGAGATGTCCCTGGAGGATTACCGCTCCATCCCCAGACACGTTAACAGACTTTTCCAGTAGCTGTACTGTCAGCCAATGCATCCCAAGACTTCAGGGCAAATCAAACATTAAGCACTATTGCTTTTAAACCCTGTACTGTAGTTACACATGTGCACTCACCAGAGGGGCCTTCTTCGCCTTCAGGGTTGGGGATCCCACCTTGGGAAGGTATTGGCTCCAGGGTGATGAAAAGGTCCTGACTGCCTGGGAGAACAGATTCACCGCTTGCCTGCTGTGTATTCTCCTCATCCACAAAATCCTCCTCCATGTTGCATGAGACCCTCCCCTCGCAGGTGTCCCCGGACAGTGATGGGGTAGTGGTAGGGTCCCCCCCTAGAATGCCAGGCAGCTGATCATAGAAGCAGCATGTATGGGGCTCTGACCTAGAGTGACCATTTGCCTCCTTTGTCTTTTGGTAGGCTTGCCTGAGCTCCTTGACTTCCATGTGGCACTGCTGTGTGTCCCTGTTGTAGCTTCTGTCCATCATGCCCTGTGCGATTTTGGCATATATATATATATATATATCAAAAAGAAGAATGCTTATATATATATATATATAAGCATTCTTCTTTTTGATCGGAGTTCTGCCTGCACAGATTCTTCTCCCCATACAGCAATCAGATCCAGTGTCTCCCGTTCGCTCCATGCTGGAGCTCGTTTGTGATTCTGGGGGGACTGCATGGTCACCTGTGCTGCTGAGCTCGCCACGCTGACCAAACAGGAAATGAAATTCCAAATTTTCCAGGGCTTTTCCTGTGTACCTGGCTAGTGCATCGGAGTTGAAAGTGCTGTCCAGAGCGGTCACGTTGGAGAACTCTGGGATAGCTCCCGGAGACCAATAATGTCGATTTGCGTCCACACTACCCCAAATTCGACCCAGCAAGGTCGATTTTAGCGCTACTCCCCTTGCCGGAGAGGAGTATAGAAGTCAATTTTAAGAGCCCTTTAGGTCGACGGAACGGGGTTGCTTGTGTAGACTCATTCATTATAAAATTGACCTAATGTGGCTAAATTCGACCTAACCCTGTAGTGTAGACCAGGGCTAAGTCTGCAAGATTGCTATCTGGAGTTCTCTACACACATTTACATGCTCAACTGTTCACTCAATTTAGCCTAGATCTCATGGTAACTTTCATAGGGCAGTTATATAATCCTCATTTAAATATGTAAATTGGAGATGATTTTACTTTTGAGTGCTTGGAAATGTATGGGACAAATGTGCTAAAAGTGACATTCTTGAAGATTTGTGAACTATATGAATTCAGACTTACCTTGTGCAAGAAGCCAAGAGCAGCAAAATCTGTTGTAACGACGTAACTTGAGTACTGTTTTATTTTTTTACCCGAAATGTAGGTGTCTGTAGACACACACTTTTGCATGTCTGTCTATCCAGTGCTTCACTCACAGCAGAAATCACTTCAAAAATGAAATGCATTCTTTGTAAAGATGGACTGCTGTAAAAACTAGCCATTCTCAAAGGCAAACTATGAGGACAATGTCAATAACTCTTTTTTCATTCTGTTGAAATGTATTTTTACACTTAAGATTTGAAACTGGAACTTTTCTGCATAATGGATCAAAATTAAATTTCTTTAACAAAGAGAAATGCACTTGCAGTTTCAAACAAAAGTCAAACTAGATGACATGTTGACAAGATTAAGTATTTCAAAAATTCTAATTTTTCTTGACACTTGTCTAATTTTTATGTTTTATCAAGATTTATACAGGCTATTATATATGCACAGTTAATTTAATGTTCTGCTAGAAGAACAGTGGATTTTGCAAATATTAATGAGCTGATAAAGTTGTTTTTTCTCTTTTTTGGCAGATGGGGATGGGCAAACTGAGCATTTACTGCCAGCCTGTGCTGATGTAACTTGTCATAAAAGTGCCATCTACTTATCTAAACCAGGACTCAATCAGGTATGCTGAGCTTCCATTTGCAGAGATAAAATTGAATACCATATTTAATGTAGGGAATAAGAAACACAACCCAGAAGAAATCCAAAACAAATTTCCTGCAGCATTAGCTTGTAATGAAGGGAAGAAATGTTTTTTCTTTAATAATTGGTTAGAAGTTGTGTTCTTGATAGAATACAATCTATAGATCTTTAAAGGGGGAAGGAAAGGAAAACTGTTTACCATGGACATCTTTATTTCTTAGTGAAAAAGAAAAAATATTTGAAAAAAATATAATTGATATCTTTGATAAAATGGTGAGGCCTTCTGCATGTACTTCTCCGTGGGTAGATGGGGCAAGTAACAAAGCTTTTGTCTTATAATGGCCCACTTACTTTATGCTAATCCTCCTGGATGGGCAGGGGGGGGGGGAACAATTCCTGTGTCTGGATTCACAACATCAGAACAAACATTTTCAAAGTTATAAAGCAAAACATATGTATTTCCGTATAGCATGGAATACAGACATTACAAGTGAGATTAATGCATGCAGCAACTTACAAAATTTCAGTCTAAACACTAAATACATTCTTATAAGACGAATGCCTATTTTGTACAAAACTAACATACAGGGGAGCTGGTTTGGTTTCCAGCTATGAGTCTGTCAGTTCTTAGCTAATGCCTACAGCCTTGGCCAGAGGTGACACTTGATTACCAGTGTCATACCACCCACTCAAAATGATGCCTGAACTGAGCAATGTAGTAGCAATGGTGCTTTTTAAAGACCAGTTTTTGGTTGAAAAATTGGAAAATTCAGGCCGAATTCATAAATGAGTATTTAATCTCTTATGCCCATTAAATAAATGAGTTGTTTTAATGTAAAATATTCATTAGCATAGACTATACAGAAAAGAATGAAATATTTGAGGTATCCTATTTAAATAATCAGTTTTTAAAGGATATGTCAGTTTTTACATTTATCACAAGTAGCAAAATATTTGGGACTAAATTTTCATGTTTTGCACCATTTACACATCTGAACAATGGCTTTTAATCATAGATGTGCATTTTTACACTGCACCCCCTGCAATTCTGCAGTAACATTTTTGAGATGGGGTGACCAATTCTGTATCTAAGTCCCATTATCAAAAGCGATTTGGGCTCTTAGGAGCCAAAGTCTTATTGAAAATCAAGGAGCGTTAGGATCCTATGTCACTTTTGGAAATGGGATTTAGGTGCCAAAGTAGAGCTGTTGGAAAATGCGCGTTTGTTGAACCTGAAATTTCTTACAAAAGCCAGTCGGGTTCAACAAACTTTCCTGGTTCCCTGGCAGCTCAACAGGGGAGCCTGGCCATGTGAACTGCCCTGGAGACATGGACCCAGGCATCCAGGGTCTGCAGTTCTGGACTAGCCCCACCCACAACCCCATGCTAGGGCTTCTGTGCAGACCGGATCCTGATAATTCCAGAAACCCTAGGAGACCTCGCTCTCGGAACCTAGATGCCTGTCTCTATGGTGCCTGGAAGCAGGGACTCTAGAAACCTGGGGGACACTCAGAGCTTTCAGGATTATTACCATGGAGCTGGGAGCCAGGAGGTCCTGAGATGGGTTTCCAGGGCCAGAGACCCCAAGGCTTCAAGTCTCCTGGGCCATCTGGCTCCCTGTGTTGTTTGTCTAGGTAACTAATAGTAGTGGTGAAACTGACAAGAATGTCAATCTCGGTCAGCCGCTCCTAGCCCAGGTGGGGCCGGCTCCAGGCAACAGCGCAGCAAGCAGGTGCTTGGGGCGGCCAACGGAAAGGGGTGGCACGTCCGGCTCTTTGGTGGTGGGTCCCTCAGTCCCTCTCTGAGGGAAGGACCTGCCGCCGAAGAATGAGGTGGCGGGGTAGAGCTGCCGCTGAAGTGCTGCCGATCACAGCTTCCTCCCCCCCGCCCTCCCCGCTGCTTGGGGCGGCAAAAACGCTGGAACCGGCCCTGAGCCCAGGGAACATATTTTGGTCCAGAAACAGTGTGTTTGCAAAATGAATTTTTGAAGGGATTCCAGGTCATGAAAATTTTTAAATATTTTGTTGAGTTCCAAAACAGAACAACCAACCAAACAACTCAGATTTCTCACAAAACAGAAATCCTGTGTTTCAATAGCTCTACCCTTAAGTTACAAAGTCACAAAGACACCTTTTGAAATTGTACCCTAGGTATTATTTTTTAATTATGTAAAGTGGTCATGAAAACAGGGATGACCAAAAAAAAATGTGGTTGGAATTTTTATTATTTTCAAATCTTTCTGTTCAGTTTTGTCATCTAGCATAGATGTTTTGCCAGTAATAGTTGCTCATAAATAGGAAAACAGAGCATTCCTTATAAGTAAATCCATTTTCTTTCTTAGAATAAACCACTGTCCTGTTAAGTATCAGGGGGTAGCCGTGTTAGTCTGTATCCACAAAAACAACGAGGAGTCCGTTGGCACCTTAAAGACTAACAGATTTATTGGGCTTTCGTGGGTAAAAAACCCACTTCTTCAGATGCACGGAGTCGAAGAAATGGGTTTTTTTACCCACGAAAGCTTATGCCCAAGTAAATCTGTTAGTCTTTAAGGTGCCACCAGACTCCTCACTGTCCTGTTTACTCCTTTAAAATATGTAATATACACACTTAGTTTGAGAGTTAAATTTTATGAATTGCCTAGAATAAATTAAACTAAAGCATGTAAAATGTAAATACATTGTATAAAATACAGGACTGAAAATGTTTGAATGTATAATTGTTTTAGGACAATGTGGTGCCAATGATGCCATATGGTGGAAATTAACAAAGGAATTGAAAAAATAAGTCTCTTTTATTATCTGTCTCATAATATTTTGCGTTTTATTTTGTTTTTAAGGCATACTCATTCCTTTTTTGAGGCTTTCTATTTTTTTCCTACATTGTAAACAGAAATCATAGAATCGGAAGGTTTTCAGTAGCATTGTAATGTCCTCATTACATCAATCAATCTGCATGTCAGTCTTACAGTAATAAAATAATCACCAAAAACCCTTAGGCCATTTTCTGCTAAAATAGCAAATAACGAGAGTAATAATAATCTGCTGTGTCATCATTGGCAGAAGAAAACAATAGGCTAATTTTATTGACTTGTATAAAAGTACTTTACGTTTTTGTGTTCCGTAATTTAGAATATATGCACCCAGTGGAAGCAGAGCCTGCAGTTTATAAGGCTACTGTTTATGAAGTAATATTCCTGTGGGGCTGAAAACAGAATAATAATTCATGTTTCCTCCTAGCAGTTTCTTTTCAATGAGATGCTATAATGAGTATAAATGGCTTAGTTTCTCTAAAATCACATCAGATATGAGAAAATGTATATGATAGGTCTTTCACAGCTATGGAAACTTGGTTTTTTGCCATAAAGGTTATATGAGTGAATGATGCCATGTGACGTAAAAATTGTATTAGTCTTCATTGTTCTGACTTGAACAGTGGTTTTTTAAGATACTATTTTGCACCCTAGTACCTGCATATTTTCTGTCTGACAAATTAATGTTAGGGAATCTGTTATTCCTTTGGTGTACACATGTAATTCCTTTAAGAGAATTACATCGTCTGTTAACGCTGTCTATTTCTCATTTTCAGATACATTGTCCTAGACTTTTCAAAAGTCTAGCTGCTTACAATAACCAAAAAAATATTTATCAAAACAAATGTGTATATGGAAGCTAACCAATTTTTGAAAAAGAAACCAGAGAAATCTACTTATTGATTTCCATTTTTTTTTTCACCCTTTTCTTTAGGCAATCATAAATAGTTTTGTATATCTTCATGATAGCACAAATTTGGTAAATAGCATGTGCAAACATTTTCTATTCAGAATCAATAACAAAACAACAAAACAGTATTTCAGACCATAGGTCTAATCCATCGGCCTTCTTGAGTTGTGCTGGTGGCAAGACAAAAACATCTATCCCTTTTATGCTTCCTCCCAGTCTTAGAACTCCTTTGGCTCCAGTGCAAATTTGAATAACTTTAGGACTGCTGAAATTTGTGTCTGTCTGATTTCAGCCCCAAGGAACCATTCCAGCATCAAGGAATAACTGGCATGCAACAGAACTCCTTTTACACTTCCTTCTCTTAGCCACACTTTGAGCACAATCTCTCCAGCAGTGGTCACCAACCCGTCGATCCTGGAGCCTCTGCCAGTCGATCACAATCTCTGGGCTGCTAAAAGTCCAGCGGTGCAGCGGGACTCAGGCAGGCTGCCTGCCTGCCCCAGCCCCACACTGCTTCCCGTGCTGCCCCCGCCCCCAGCACCATCCCCGTAGCTCCCATTGGCCAGGAACCGGCCAATGGGAGCTGCAGGGGCGGCACTTGTGGGCGCAGGCAGTGCACAGAGACCCGCTGCCTCTCTTTCACCAAAGGGCCGCAGAGACATGCCAGCAGCCAGCCGCTTCCGGGATTGGCATGGGGTCAGGGCAGGCAGGCAGAGTCTGCACTTCGCACCCCCTCCTGCACCCCTGCCCCAGGCCGGAGCCCCCTCCTGCACCCAAACTCCCTCCCAGAGCCCACACCCCTCACCCTCTCCTGCACCCCAATACACTGCCCCAGCCTGGAGCCCCTCCTGTACTCAAACACCTTCCCAGAGCTTGCACCCGTTGCTCCTGCACCTCAACCCCCTTCCCCAGACTCAGCCACAGCTGAGAATATTACACTGACTTGTGATAATCCCTGAATGATTTTGGATCTATAAACCACAAATGAAAGCAACAAACAGTAAAACTCATGAAATGTCCAGTGGATTCTATGAGATTAGGTGCAGTGTGACCATATGACCCCTGCACCCAAACTCCCTCCCAGAGCTTGCACCCCTCACTCCTGCACCCCAACCCCCTACCCCAGGCTCAACTCGGAGTCCCTCCCACACTCCGAACCCCTCGGCCCCAGCCCAGAGCCTGCACCCTTTCCCGCACCCCAGCCTCCTGCCCCAGCCTGGTGACAGTGAGTGAGGGTGGGGGAGAGCGAGTGACGGGGTGGGGAATGGAGGGAGTGGTGTGGGGCCTAGATGAAGGGGCAGGGTAGATCCTGCGTTGATCTTGAATTCAAAAAGTGATCTTGTGCATAAAAAGGTTGGTGACCATTGCTCTACAGCATGCGTTGCAAGAGTGAAGTGATGTCAACTATACTGTACAGGCTCTACAATACCTGTGATTCCCCAACACCAGGGAAATTTTCAATTGATGAGACCAGTCCCTTTGAGTTTTTGGGATGTTGTAAAAGGGCAAAGTGGGGGACCAGGTTCTGGCCCAATATTTTAAGAGCAACAATCTAATTTATGGCCTTCAGCCAACTGCTCTTTTATGCACTTACCTCATCATGACTCACTACATTAGGAAAGCCAGGATGAGAGACCTTTAAGAAACACCTGTGTGCTGCAGGAAGTGGTGCTAAAGCTCCATTAGGGTGCTATTCTTTTGTTCTGCTGGAAGTGCAATCTTTCAAATGAAGGGTAAAATGACTTATGAACATTAAAGCTCCCATGGAACTTTTCACTAGAGTATGGTTGTTAGCCATGGTGACTTGGCTTCATACCAGATAGTGGAATTATATTTCTTCTTCAAGTTCTTGCCCATGTCAGTTCCATTCTAGCTTTGTGCGCGCTCACGTGCAGAGTCATCAGAAATTGTTTTGCCTTAGCGGTATCTCTAGGGTCGGCTGTGGCGACCCTTGAGTGCTGCGCTTATGCGTTGGTATATTAGGCACCACCGGCCCTACGCCCTCTCAGTTCCTTCTTACCACCCGTGATGGTTGTTGCAAGCCGCAAGACCATGAACTCCGAGCCCACCTCCAAGGATACTGCTTGTGAGTCACCTAGAATGGACTCGACACGAGCAAGCACTCGAAGATGAAAAAATGGTTACCTATCTTTTCGTAACTGTTGTTCTTTGAGATGTGTTGCTCATGTCCATTCCATTACCCATTCTCCTGCCCCTCTGTCTGAGTTGCCGGCAAGAAGGAGCTGAGAGGGTGTAGGACCGGCAGCGCCTAATATACTGATGCATAAGTGCATCACTCAAGGAGCGCCACAGCCAAACCTATGGATACCGCTAAGGCAAAAAATCTCCGATGACTGTTCACGTGGGCGCGCACACACCTAGAATGGCACACACCTACCTCATAAGGCTGAACAGCTATCTTGTTCCACTACAGAGGCAGATAAAGTAATCCTTATGTATTAATTACCGCCCTTACGGGAATGTTCAGAGAGTTTTGAATTCCTTGGTGAAAAGAGCTACAAAACAGTAATAGATGTGAAATGACAATCTGTTTAGTAACATCAAATACTTTTAGCAAATAAAACATATACCTCTAACTCCAGTTATTTGTTACTTTTTCAGTGGATACCAGTGTTACAGGACTTCAGAAATAAGGACACACTCTGGGGTTTTGTGCCGTATAAAAACAATCAATCCTCAGTTCCAATTACTCTTCACATTGGAGATTACAATATGGATGGCTACCCAGATGCTCTTGCTATACTAATGAATACTTCTGGAAGGTACAGTATGTATGAAGCTAAAAGTAAAAACACTATCGAAACATATATCGAAATATCAGTTCATGCAATTTAAGAATTACACCATTGATTAGAATAATGTGTATGAAATTGTTTTAGTGTTAGATTATCTCACTCTTCTTTACAAAATGAATAGTTAATTTTATATTTACTAAGCATTTTCCTTCTTAAAGGGTTTAAATTTTGCATGAAAATTGTAAAATACGTAATAGCATAGGGCCAGATTGTGGCTCAACATGCACAAGTGCACAGGGAAGTTAAGAGGGGAAAAGGGGCTTCTTGCTTCAGCGTTCTAGATCACCAGGAGATCTTTTACCTTCGGAGAAGCAATTGATTTAGAGGCATCTGTTATATTGCCAATAGTTGTGTATGTTCCAAGCTTAATTAACGTTAATAGAGGGGCTCTCAAATGCAATACAATTATTTTTTGTTTAACGGGGGAAATAATTCGGTGCAGGGGCAGAGCTGGGAACTGGGAAACTCTGGGAGTGTGAATTTGTTTATTTTTTTGAATATCTACAAGTTTTTCTTGAACTGGTACCGCTTCATTCTGATGAATTGCTCACATTGGAATCTCCTTCACCTGCCTGATCCTCAGTTCTCAGTGAGCACCTGAACAGTGATTTAAATAGGAGTTCACTCTCCATTATGACTTGTGGAAAGCTCAGCTCATTTTCCAGTCTCCAAAGTTCAGCAGTCTGGTTTCTTTCTTCCATTTGTTTCTGTCAGTGCTGAAGTTTGATGTCTTTGTCCTTGTTCTGTATATTGAATCCATCTCACAACCTAGTAATTTCCTTTTCTTTCATCTTTCCTTTCTTTCCAAGACACTTACAGTTAGATTTAGATAAGGTGAATCTTCACTATCTTATTTTCCCCATCTTCCCTTCATTTCCATATTTTCTTTTACTCCCTTCTCTGTTCCTCAATCACTTTGTCATTTTTCTCTTTTTGTTTTCTTTCTCCTTTCAATCTCTTCCCCATTTGTTCTTTATCCCAAATATGGCTTCTCTCCTCTTTCCTTCCTCCCAACCCCATTTCTCCGTTTATTCTTTCCCCAAGGAGTGCTACAGGCACCATGATGGAGAAGTTAATTTTTCTGATGTCAGCACATAGCTCTTAGTCCCCATACTGGGGGAGTGGAGGAGAGTGTCCCACACAAATTTCTTTGCCCTTTACCCAGCCCTACGTGCGTTGGCTGTGGGGAGTCTAGTGCTGTAACAAAATATCTTTCCACAGTCTTAAGACTCCATTACTTGTATCGGCAAGTTGCTCATATTTATTTCTTCATTTGGCTATTTCCTCCATATTCTGGTCAAGGGGAAACTACAGCACTATTCAATACTGTTAGATTTCAGTGCAGATCTGTGAAAGCCTCTCTGAAGGCCTTTGAGCCAACTTCACTGATTGCTTCCTCAGACAACCAGCAGTTCCCTTTCATATCTTCATCTGCTTGGAATTTTGGGAGATGAACTGGCCTTTGGTTGGAAAATATTCCTTCTGGTTCTCCTTAGATCTGTATTTTGAATCTTCTCTGTTTCTTTTTTGACACTGATAATAATAAATTGACAAAGCCCTTTTCCATTCAGGTAGTCAGTGTGCGCCTCCCCTGTAGGGAGCAATTGTTGATCCATTTAATTTTTATGCAAAAAACTGTAAATACATTTTATTGTGGTTGTCACACACTTCTCTGCTCAGCATCTCCAGTTTTTTGTCACAATAATGCTGTCCCAATATGACCCACAAAGCCATAGCAGCATGCAGAATAGTAGTATTTAGAAGAGCCCATTTCTCTGGATTTTAATAGCCTGCACCAGCTGAAGAAACCAGAGCTGGCACACACTACTCCAGAAGACATTATGCCCAGTCACTTATGTTCTAATGTAAATGTTGTACTTCATACATATGTACTTCTTGCATATATGTGCTTTAGGATTTAATAGTAAGTTTTAATACATAAAACACATAATTTTACCTAATTACTGTGCGTTATCACACAACAAAAAGGTTAGAGAGAAACAGGAAGCAAGAATCAATTCCACACACTCAGTAGCTCTTTACAGCATAAAGTAGGTTCAGGTATACAGCCAGAAAGAGACCCCCAAATGCTCCATTCACACAGACAACTGTGTTAGTTTCCATTATCCTCGTACAGTCCATCTCTTCAAGCACTTCAAACAGGTGATACAAAAATCCTTCCTTCTCAAACTGCTTTCCCAATACATCTACTGTCATCACTTTCTAAAACATGTCTGTAATATCACACACACACTCTGTTGCTTAGTCCTCTGTGCTATCATAGTACCAGAAAAGAAAAAAGCATCTCAAAGTCCCTGTAATACTTTCAAAAATCCCTACAATCCTCATTTTAAAAGCTCCATAAACTCAGATTACTGAGATAGTCATGAAATCTAATCCATATTAAAAGGAATTTTTTAAAATGCTTGTGATTAAAGGTCTATCATGTAAAACTATATTTAGTATCCTGTCAGCCTGCTGTAAGGACCAGTAGGATACTAGTACTTGCAAGTCGTGCAAATTTAAAAAATCCTCCCATTTTATTGTCCACCATATTCGAAAGTAGTGCCCACCAATAGTAATTTCAAAGGGTACTCAATTATAATCATAATTATAGGTGGATTTGGCAGTGTGGCTTCCTGACTTCCATTTTAAGACCTTGTTTTAAATATAGCTGTGTGAATACTTCATTTTTCTGCTTTCTTCATTAACTGTCCTTATCAAAAGTCGGGGGGGAAATTCATTTCTGGTCAAACCAAATGTTTTGATTCACCAAAAATGAAACACTTCATTTCTTTTTTGAGATTTACCTTTTATTAAAAATATAATGAAGTAAATTTCAAAATGAAAAGTAATTTCATATTAAAAAATTTTAATTTCAAAAATGTCAAGAACACATTGCAATTTTTTTGGAAATTGTTAAGTGTATTTATTTTACTGAAACAGTTCAGTGAATTAGGCATGGATTTGCTTAATGTTTTTGGTAGGCCCAAATCTATATTGTTTTGGCAAAAAAAAGTTTCACTGGAAAAATTTAGTTCAACTCTACTTTTCAATTGCTTATAACTTTGCCGAATTTAAAGCATTTGTATGTAAATTTTCCATGCCATGCCAGGAAAATTCTGTGTCTGCCTCAGGCCGATTTTTAGCATAAAGGTTAGAGGATCAGGCCCTTAGACCATGACTCAAATAGTGCTGATGCTCTTCCATTATATTAACCTATGTGTAATTAAATTTTAAAGTACATTTTATAAGCATAGGGTAACTAAAATATTGTAAAGACATAATTTGCATGCAATATTTTCATGTAGTAGGCTAGAATGAATTTTACCTTAATGCCATAGTGTAATATGCTGTAGTGTAATATAGCATTTGTTACTGTCTAATGCAAATCAGTAAGAGGATGGATCTAGACTGTTCTCAGTGGTACCTGATGACAGAACAAGGAGTAATGGTCTCGGTTGCAGTTGGGGAGGTTTAGGTTGGATATTAGGAAAAACTTTTTCACTAGGAGGGTGGTGAAGCACTGGAATGGGTTACCTAGGGAGGTGGTGGAATCTCCTTCCTTAGAGGTTTTTAAGGTCAGGATTGACAGGCTGGGATGATTTAGTTGGGAATTGGTCCTGCTTTGAGCAGGGGGTTGGACTAGATGACCTCCTGAGGTCCCTTCCAACCCTGATATTCTATGATTCTAAGTGAAGTTAATTAAAATATAGCAACATATTTTTCCTGCAGAGGAAAGGTAATACCCATTTCCTTACCACAGATCCCCTGAGGCTCTGTTGAAAAGGCAGTATTGACACCCAGTCTCCAATGGCAACAGACTTGCAGGAAAGACATTTTCTCCTGTATTAGGCTTTTTATTGTCAGTGAAGATAAAAATGAATCTGAAATCTATGGAAAAAATAAACTGTTTTTTGTTTATTATGGACATTTTTATATCTTCTTAGTAACCATATTTCTTTTGTATTGCAATATAGTTAGGAGTGTCAAGCGATTAAACAAATTAATCACAATTAATCGTGCAATTAATTGCACTGTTAAACAATAATAGAATATCATTTATTTAAATATTTTGGATGTTTTCTGCATTTTCAAATATATTGATTTCAATTACAACACAGAATACAAAGTGTGAAGTGCTCACTTTATATTTATTTTGATTACAAGTATTTGCACTGTAAAAAAACAAAAGAAATAGTATTTTTTCAATTAACCTAATACAAGTAGTGCAGTCTCTTTATCATGAAAGTTGAGCATACAAATGTAAAATTATGTACAAAAAAAATGCATTCAAAAATAAAACGTAAAATTTTAGAGCCTGCAAATCCACTCAGTCCTACTTCTTGTTCAGCCAATCGCTCAGACAAACAAGTTTGTTTACATTTGCAGGAGATAATGCTGCCCATTTCTTGTTTACATTGTCACTTGAAAGTGAGAACAGGCGTTCTCATGGCACTTTTGTAGCCGGCGTCACAAGATATTTACATGCCAGATGCGCTAAAGATTCATATGTCCCTTCATGCTTCAACCACCATTCCAGGAGACATGCGTCCATGCCGATGATGGGTTCAGCTTGATAACAATCCAAAGCAGTGCGCACCGACGCATGTTCATTTTCATTATTTGAGTCAGATGCCACCAGCAGAAGGTTGACTTTGGTTGGTTGGTTGGTGGGTTTTGTTTTGTTTATTTTTTTGGTGGTTCGGGTTGTGTAGTTTCCTCATCAGAGTGTTGCTCTTTTAAAACTTCTGAAAGCATTTTCCACACCTCATCCCTCTCAGATTTTGGAAGGCACTTCAGATTCTTAAACCTTGGATTAAGTGCTGTAGCTATCTTTAGAAATCTCACATTTGGTACCTTCTTTGCATTTTTGTCAAATCTGCAGTGAAAGGAAGCTTACAAGAAGTGGAAATTTGGACAGATGACTAGGGAGGAGTATACAGGGGTGTAATCAGGAAGGCCAA